TTTTTTAGTTGAGTTGGGACGTTTTCCCTCACCCACTATGTTCTCCAGGTATAACATCATAAGATTACCATCTTTTTTCGTCCGCTGCAACACCATCTTAATGGGAAACATATGCAAATGTGGAAGGTGTTAAAGAGGACATCGACATGTTTTTTTGCTTCAAAGCCAAGTGATTTCTTTAATCATGGCTTCAACAACCTGATTGTAAGATGGAAAAGCATCATCGATAAGAATGGAGACTATTTCATTTAATAAATGTTTTGTTTTGATATATAAGTTGTTCGGGTTTTTCATCTATAAAAATGTGACATTAATTTCTTGACGACCTAATATGGAAGATATAGGAATATTAGAAGTCAGTACTTGCGTTAACATGTAAGTGATAAGAATAATAGAAGTCAGTACTTGCGTTAATAAAATGCATTTTTCCAGAGCTCTTTTATCACTCAGTACATCTCATGTAATGCTTTAGTTCCTTTTAAATAAGAAGTGTTACACAGTAGAGGATGGGACGGTAAAGGGTGTTTTATGTATGGAAACGATAAATGTTCAAATGACGAGTCCTTTTCTTCCAAGATACATTCGGATTACTTTCTTTTTTACAGCTGAGTTGTTAGATTTTAAGCAGAGAAGCCATTACACACTTCTCTGGGGAGTTGTAAACCTAATCTCGTCCATCTTCCGCGTGTTGGCCGAGTTTGATACGTTGAGATCGAAACAGAAAAGAATTCTTACCTTGAAATCGATGGATCAAAAAACCTCGAAATAAATATTAATCTAAGTTTTATCATTTTGAAGCATTAATGGCGATTCCACGAGCCCATTTTCATCGAATATAAACTGAAACCATTAAAACTAATTTGTTTCATATCTCAATGTATTCTATTCGCTCTAAAATACTACGAACGGTAGAATAAGAAGACTAATAAAGTTTCTGATATTTCATTAGACAAGATTCATTGAAATTGATAACTACTTGTTAATTATACTTTTAATTAAGTTTCAGAAAAATCTATTTCTGAATGACTAATAGGAAAATATGCAAACCTTCATTGTAATTAATAGTAAATTTAATCGTTAATATGGTAAAACCAGCAAAGCGTAAATATATAGATAAGAACGATACGATTTCTAGTTTAGTTCAACTTAATTGACCAATTTTCACGACTGCTTCTCTGAAGTCTTCGTTATTTTTCTGAAAAAAATAAAAATTTTGGTTTTTGTTAAGCACAAAGTTACACAATGGGTTATCTGTGCTCTGCCCACCACAGGTATCGAAACCAGATTTTGAGCTTGATAAGTCCTCCGTCTTACCGCTAAGCCTGATAAAAGCTAGCGAATAAGTGACAATTTTATTTTGAGGAAATTTAATAAAAATGTTTAGCTATAGTTATTTAGAGGTGATAATGTTATGCAAATTAACATTGATATTAGTATCGAATTTGTAGGACACTTTGTTAAATTCATGACTGCATTTAGCGATTAGCAAATTTCCAGAGGCATTGCTAGTATACACTTAAGTATATCAACTAAATCCTAGACTAATATAGACATATGTGTGTGTTTATTAAACAAAACAGATGTATAATTTAATTCTTGTTGAAATGATAGGTTTTTTCGTGAGAACAAGTCAACTGTTCGTACTCGGTACATGTGATTGAGATTAAACGTTAGGAATATTCAAATTGCATTTTCTTCAATAATTAAACTTTGTTTTTAATCAAGTTTCTTTCTTAGTTACTTAATGCCTATATATTTCCCTACACTCGTTAAAGGCAATGCAACAAGATATGAATCAATAAAAAATCTGTGGTTTGATTTTCAGTAGCGTTATCAATGCACACGTTTGATAGAAGCTACTTACAAAATTATCAACATGGGTATACTAATGGCTAAAGGAGAGATATTCAAAACAAAAGTAATTCAGTCTTTTATGGAATTATATTAAACTCTCAGTTCTTTAAGCTATATTATTTTTATTTTAATCATCTGAGATATTGTTTTATGAGAATAACTTCTGAGATAGAAAAATGAAAGTAAACAAAACTATTAAATCCAACAATCCAAATTTTGTTTTTGCTGTTATAAAAAAAGAGAGTATAATAAAATAAGGATGTTATCAAGCATTCTTAGAAACGTGCAGGTAAACTCCAGAACGGATAATTAACATGAAACAAGTAGAAATGAGTTACACCTTCTCACTCCTAGTGGTTAAATGGGTGTCCAAAAACACTACTCTGAGTTGTTAAAAGAGATGCACCTTGTTTGTTCATCATAACATGTTATTTTTATCATTTTATAATAATTAATTAAAAACTTGTTGCTTATTTGATACCGAAAAATAATTACGTGGTTACATTTAGTGTGGTAAAATTACGTGTAAGTAAGTTAAGCATTACTTCTCATACAACTCCAAAAATTCATTGAATTTATACAGCTAGTCGCAAAAATACGCTGCTATTAAATACTGGGGATAGTAAGTTTAAGGTTTTATCTACAGGGTAAGCGAAGGGAAAGTAAAAGTTTAAGATTATCTACAAATGAAACTCACAAAGAAAATATCGGTTTAGGATTCCTCACAGCTTCATGGAGCCAAGGGAATTAATCTCCATAGCATATTGTACACTAGCATAGAAAGGAACGAAAACTATGAAACGAAACAGGTAAAGAGGGAAGAGTGGTTTGAGAATATCATTATTGAATAAGTTATACTAGAAAACATATGTTGTATCATTTTGTGATTTTTAATAATTTTTTAATAATAGATATAAACAATTTAAAAAATAGATGAAAAATTAATACTTAATGATTCAACATATAAAGTACTTAGATTATAAAGTTATAACTCAGATACACCAAAAGCACGTTCCAGAAATAGCAATTTGATATTTTCAGCAAATATTTTTGGGTGTCATATATGCGATGTTAAAGTTGAACGACATTAGTCAGACAGCTGATAATAACGTACCATTAGGAACCAGCTTTAGTCCAATTTAGTTAATCTAATTCATTCTCAAGATGAAACATGAACCTCCACCTAAACTTCATTTAAGGAATAGCCGCCTGGAATTTCTTATTTTCAATTTTCAAAGGGCCCATTGTGAGTTGATTTGTTTATTAATTAAACAATGGCAGTCCAGATTTTACTATCCCACGCTTTTTAGAAACTTTATTGAAGAAAAACAAATGTAATCTTCTGTAGCTTTATAGCATGGATTTATCCTGTCTGTAGCATTAATATTTTGAATTTATTTGTGTTCTGAATATGCGCAGATCTTTCACATAAGAAGTGGTTATGAATACTCTTGAGATATTCTTCTTTCAAGAGTATTCTTTGTCGTTCTTAAAGTTTAATGATGCGTGTTACCGCCCGAAAAGAACATTGCTACATGCAATCTTTCTTGAGGTTAGGGCAATGTCCTTCCCTAATTGTACAAGTAATATCTAGAGATCATGGCCCCACCAATATGGAATGAGAATGACCAGTCTCGTGGTAGCGTAGTTCCATTGCTAAACGCTAGGTTACGTTTTAGATAGAAACTACTCGTAGAGTAAATCTGATTCCAAGTCTAATCAGGTACACACACTGTTTTCATGTTGAGTATTTTATTAAAGACTATTTATTTTGTTTATCACTTTTCGTCCAGTCTCTCTTTATTTCATTTAACATAGCCTCAGTTAATGAACGTTTTTAGTATTGCTCCGTAAGCTCATATCCTGATCAAATCACTTGTTTAGCGGACCTATCCGATGACATTCAAACTTATATTCAGCTCATCTGAATATAGAACCGCTTTACCTATAATTTCCGCCTGCAAGTTTGAAATTGTTCCTGAATTGTTAGACAATCTAATTAAAACAGTTTCCTTTTCGAGCTTTTTTATTTTCTTCACATTACATTCCAACAGGCTATATCTAAGGTTAATGTTTTTATCTGTTTTAAACTGTTTAATTCCTAATAAACCTTCAAGTCAACAGAAATGAAGTGTTGCGCCAATTAAAATTAAATTAGATTGAACTGTAAACGTTTCCAGAAGAATCTATATAATATAACCAGTTTGTTCTAGTACTTTTGGTAAAATTATATAATGCGATTGGAAAATATCTTTATCATAAGTTGTGATGAAAATCTAACGTTTTAAATAAAGTCATATGAATAACAAGAAATAAAATACAAGTTAATATACAGCAAATAGTTCTTTATGATATTAACTTTAACTATAGTTTTGTAACAGTTACAAATATAACAATATTCTCAATAGTGATGTAAGTAGACTAGGCGTATTGAATTTCTTCTAACAAATATTAACATGTTTTGAGAAAAGACTTGAGTGAAGTTTATTCATTTCCTTCTACACATATAAATAAATATATCTGATATTATAAAATACATTAGTTGTCAACAGGCGATTGAAATCAGCACAATAATGAACTTAATGCAAAACAAAAACAACATTATTATGAGACTAAAATTTAAAATGCCATTACCATTCGCTGTTGTCATTCTTAAGTCATAATGGATAATGTCTGTGGTCATTGTATCCACACCCACTGACATTATGCATTATGACTAAAGGATGGCAACAAGGAATAGTAATTGAAGAATTATTTTGAATTTTATTTACTTGTTACGCAGAAGGGTATGGATACGCAAGTATTATAAAGAAACCATGCCACGTTTCATAAAAAATAAAATTGATGATACGCTCTTTGTCATCGTAAACTCTTAGTTTCGTAGATATATATTGTTCCTCTGCTCTCTTCATCACGTTTCTCATATACTGTCCTATTAAAAGTGTTCTCCTTAAAATAGTGTGTGACATCACTTTGTTGTGTGTCGAGCAATAATTGTATGAAAAAATAGGGTGAGATAGATGTGACTATAAATATTATTTTGAACTTGATGAAATGAATTTCTTACGAACTGTAGCTAACCGAAGGCCTGTCTTTTCTTCATTACTCCTGTAAACTGATTCACCGAAATGTCTGCCCTCAGTCAATAATCATTAATAAAAGAGGAACATGGAAACTTGCAGGATTAGAGTTCACCGAGAAGTGTGACGAAACTGGTACCACGGTGAGTATGTATATGTGAATAACAAATCTAATGATAAGCGCCTTCACTCTATTAAGTGCACAGATTCTAACACCCGAGTTTATCAGTTGTCTGGTGGCTGTCTTGAATCTGAAATAATTATTTTGTTTGTGTCATACTCGATAATCGACTGTCACATGAACTGTTAAAATCATTTACGATCGATCGGATATGACGTAAGCATAACCAATATTCTTTAACACATAAATGTGTACTGTCATCATTGACTCTTTAAACTACAATAACGTTTCGCAGAAATGAGGCCTGGTATGGCCTGCGGTTACGACGCTCGGTTCGCAATATTCGGTTCACAGGATCGAAACTCGTCATCAGATGCTCGCTCTTTCAGTTGTGAGGTTGTCATAATGTGATGGTCAATCCCATTACTTGTTGATAAAGAGTAGTCCAAGAGTTGGCCGTGGATGGTGTTGCTAGCTGCTTTCCCTATAGTCTATAACATCAAAATTAGGGATAGCTAGTATAGATAATCCTTCAGCAGTCTTGCGCGAAATGCAATAAACAAGTAAACATATAATCATATACTCTGAATAAAAATGCTTTGCCCGGTAAGGAGTGTATTTTACCCTAAAAATGTTATGCTCTAAATTAACACAAACTGTGTTCCCTATACACAGACGTGTGTCAACTCTAACACGGTTTTTTAGCGATACAAACACAAATGTCTTTATTCAAATACATTGTTATGTTGTCAAACTCAACAAGATTTTGGCCTCAGCAATCACATTTTGTTTTGTTAGCTCACAATAATTATGTTGTTTTAGCTTGAACTAGTATTGTAAAAATTCAAACGCCAGACGTGTTCCATAGAACACATCGTGTGTTGTTTTTATCATGTTATTTTTCTATGTATACCTTTTAAAAAAGTGCGAAAATATGAAGTACTTGAGAAAATTATTAAAAGATTACCGCTTTACATAGTTAAGACTAATACATTATTATTTACTTAGTCTTTAACATTCTAAAATTTATATATTTTAATACATAATAAAACATTATTTAGTTTATGAAATGAATACATATAGAAATAGTTAAGTTTATAAACAAAATATGATGACGATCGAAGTCCTGCCATAGCCTAAAGGTTGAGATGATTTTAAGTTATTTAACTTGAAGGGTAACATTCAAATTTGTTAATTGTGTAAGGGCGAGTATAAAGGTGACTCAAGGTGTGAGGAAAACCATGTATGTGTAGAGCCTGAAACAGGAAACTGGAAGTTTGCAGGGAAAGGAGAGGTTGAATGTTGTTTGTTTCATGTTTACACTCTAGTCTTGGTCTTGAAAGAAAGATTACTTGCTTGAGAGAAACCAATAACTAGTTCCAAGTCAACACGTAATTTAAATTGTAACAAGGAAAAGTTTCTATGAAAAATTGAGGTTAAAATATTTACGGCAGCTTAAATGATACTGATTACATGTAGTTTTTATATCGAGCATCATTTTAATTGGAATGATGACTAACCGTTGAATATATTATTTAATTAATAAGTTATTCAATAACTAAATTAAATAAATAAATTAGAACCAACCTTGATGAACGGTCATTTTTAGGTTGCAATGTTGTATGTGGAGGGGGAGTTCTCGGAAAACCCACTTTCACTGATCAGACCCGAGCTGCCTGGCTGTAAAGGATAAGACATTATGTGTATGGTGTATGTTTCCTATGAGCGGGTATTATAATGTACTAGGGGTTTGGAGGTTGCTGCCAGGTGCTCGTTTATAGCGTGAAGCTAGTTTAAATAAGTGTTCTTTAATAGGTGGCGTGTCTTTAAATGTACTGAAGTACTCAGGTGGAGTATAATTGGGAAGTCCAAGAAATTTTACTGAGCTAGAGAAGATGGTTGCAGTATTGTACAATTTAAGTTGGATATTATGTAATTTTTTCTGCTTTTATTGATTTTTCGGCCGAAAACAATAGCTTGGGTTTTGAAGGGGTTGAGGGCTACTCGCCACTTGTTGTACCAGCAGGATATTGTATCAAGTGATGCTTAAGCTCCAGCAATATCATCGGGTTAGTGGGATGCTAGTGTGTAGGGCCTACGTTAAGGCGGGGAATGGGATGTCATTAACAAACAGATTGTGCAGTGTCGGGCTTAGTAAAAATACCCTTTTGAACTCAGGCCTTTAAATTGAAAGGATGAGATAACTCGTTGTTAATTTTAATTTTAGCTGTGCGGTTGGTGAGAAAGCTTGACACCCACCTCATGAATTGGATGGAAATGTGATTGTTGTGTAATTTGTATCATAGTCCATTATGCCAAACAGAGTCACAGGCTTTCTGGACATCTAGAAATGTGCCTATGGTTATGTGTTTTTATTAAACCCTTGATGGGTTGATTTGGTAATCCTAATGAGGTGATTTGTAATTTGTCTGTGTTTCCTGCCATGGTTCTGATGTTATGAATTTAATCAATTAGTAATGGGCTTCTCCATTAACTTACCTAAGGCATTAAGTAAACTGATTAATCTGTAACTACCAGGATTACTTAAGTCGTTATTTTTATTTGGTACTTCTTTGATGGTTGCCGATTTCCATGTTGATAGGAAGTATCCAAATTGTAGAGAGAGATAACATATCGCTGTTAAATGAATTAAAATCGGGTCGAAAAGGTTTTTCAAGATTAAGTTATTAATTCCATCCTCGCCGGCGGCTTTGCATTTTACTTTTTCCGAGTTTAATTCTATTTCAGTCATGGATATGGGGCGTATGTATAAGTTATTAAGGTCAAAATCGTGTGAGATTCTAACTGGAAAGATTGGAGTGAATAAGGGTTGATTATTGGCAATTTAAGTAATTATGTTATCGAAATATTGAGGATCGAATGAGGCGAAATTGGGGGGGGGGAGTCACTAGTGTATTCTTAAAGTATTGGGCAAATAATTCGATTTGTTCGTCATCGGTGGTAGCAGTTATGTTATTGTACTGGATCTTAGTTATACTGTTAGCTGATTTATTGCTTTCTGTAAAATGGCGAGGGGTCGGGTTATGGTAGCAGTTATGTTATTGTACTGGATCTTAGTTATACTGTTAGCTGATTTATTGTTTTCTGTAAAATGCTGATGGGTCGGGTTAGAGTTATCTGATGATTTACAGAAACTCTTCCAGCTTTCTTATTCTTGTTGTCAGATAAGTGTCTTAATTAGGTAATTTTTGTTATTAATTATTGGCTTAATTGATGGGTCGCGAGTACGAATGAAGTCAGGTCTAAGTTTTTTCTACTTAAGATTAGATCGTGAATTTCTAATAATAATTTCCATGCTCTACAGTCATGGTTGAGGACTTTACTCAAAATAGTTTCTTTAATTGCATCGGCCCCCCAATGGCACAGCGGTATGTCTGCGGACTTACAACGCTAGAATCCGGGTTTCAATACCCGTGGTGAGCAGAGCACAGATAGCCCATTGTGTAGCTTTGTGCTTAATTACAAATCAACAACAGTAATTGCATCGATTTGTTTGTTTATAGCTAAGCACAAAACTACATAACGGACTATCTGTGCTCTGCACACCACAGCTATCGAAACTAGACCGCCCTGAATATCAATTTAGTATAGAATGCCATGCTGAAGTCTTCACACCCCTCCCCGTACTAGTAATAAAGTTTAGTTATTTTCTTGTGAAAGATATAACTCAAATGGACAAAAATATTTATTATATTAATATCAGACCAGTTTCCAAAGATTACAAACAACAAAAGGTGCAATGTTACCCACTTTAGTGATATAACACAAAATTTTTAAAACACATGTTGCAAAAGTCTTCACACCCCCTTAGGTTTTACCATCGTTAATTTACTTTTACTCACTACCCTGCTAAAGTAAATACAAGTGGCTCTGTACAACTTTATCAGATATGAAAGTATATTACAGAGCCATTTGTATTGATTTAAGCAGAGTATTTTGAAAGTTAATATTTGGTTTACTGTTACATATTGAGAGTGAGAAAATAACTCTCTACAGACCTAATGGAGAAGATTGCTCAAAAACACAATTCCGGAGAAGGCTATAAATCAATTTCAAAGGTTCTCACTTTGCTATTAAGTACTGTAAAATCGGTTGTGAAAAAATAAAAAGTGTATCACACTGCTTCAACCTTGCCAAGATTAGGTCGCCATAAGAACGTGTGCGCTCAAACAAGCAGAAAAATCGTCAAAGAAACGACTGTTAAGCTGACAATGAACATTTAAGTAGCTTCAGACTTCAATAGCAGCTACTTGAGTTACTGTACTCACCTGGAAAAGATCATGTACCATACACAAAAAGGCTTGTATGGTAGGGTGGCTAGAAAGAAACCACTATTGACGAATATGCATCTTAGATCGCGAATGGACTATGCCAGTAAACATTTCAATAACCCTAGAACAATGTGGCAGAAAGTTCTATGGTCAGATGAGACTAAAATATAACTTTTTAGGTTAAATGATAAACGGTATGTATGGCGGAAACCCAACACCGCTCATGACCCAGCAAATACAGTCCCAACTGTCAAGCATGGTGATGGTCCATAATGCTGTGAGGATGTTTTTCTGTAGCTGACACTGGAGAACTTTTACGTATTCAAGGGATCATGGACAGTGCAAAATATACATTAATATAAAGAAAAATTAAAACTCGGTCGAAGGTTTACAGTTCAACAGGACAATTATCCTAAACACAGATCAAAGGCAACCCAAGAGTGGTTTCGGAGAAACAACACTAAAGTCCTTCACTAGCCAAGCCAAAGACCATACCTAAATCCACTCGAAAATCTGTAAGAGAATTGAAAATTTCTGTGCATCGAAGACATCTTTCTAACTTACAAGAACCGGAGGATATCTGCAAGAAGGAGTGGGCAAAAATATTCTCAGCATACTGTGCAAAACTTGTGGAGGGTTATCCAAAACGACGTTCAGCTGGCATTGCTGCCAAAGAAGCTTCAACCAAATATTAACTGCATTATCATGTTAGGGGTGAAGATTTTTGTAACATGTGTTTTCAAAATTTTTTTGTGTTATATTACTAAAGTGAGTAATAATGCACCTTTAATTCTTTGTAATTTTTAGAAACTGGTCTGAGATTAATATAATAAATATTTTGGTCATTTGAGTTGTGTCTTTCACAAAAAATACCTAAAATTTATTACCAACACCGGGAGGTGAAGACGTTTGCAAGGCATTGTACATTTAATGTACTGATTATAGTTTTTGCATTTATATACTTAATTTACATTACATACATTGTTTTTGCGATTTTATTTAAAGTTTTCACTTGAAATCTTTAAACAATTATAACAAATTAATCATAATAAACAATGTATAAAACATTTACTGTTTTATGTAATAGATCATTTTCTATCAAATCTAAGATATTTTGAAAATCTTTGTCATGCATTTGCCATCAAATTATTGTTACATACTTAATGACCAGTGTCATTAACACATATAGAAACGAAGTGAATTTTTTAAACTCTATTGGTTATTTTACTCTGACTCATCACACCCAAGAGGCAAATTAACCAATTTTGACCCATATTTAAAGCCAAGTGACGTATTTACCTAAGGCTAAAACAAGTAATTCTTCCGTTTCTATAAAACTGACAAACTAAAGACTGTAGACAAACCAGATGTTCTATTTCAGTATCTTTCAAAACTTCACTCTATCTGATTCTTTAGTTTCTGTAAAACTGACAAACTAAAGACTGTTGACAAACCAGATGTTCTATTTCAGTATCTTTCAAACTTCACTCTATCTAATTCTTTAGTTTCTGTAAACCTGACAAACTAAAGACTGTTGACAAACCAGATGTTCTATTTCAGTATCTTTCAAACTTCACTCTATCTAATTCTTTAGTTATTGTAAACCTGACAAACTAAAGACTGTTGATAAACCAGATGTTCTATTTCAGTATCTTTCAAAACTTCACTCTATCTAATTCTTTAGTTTCTGTAAAACTGACAAACTAAAGACTGTTGGCAAACCAGATGTTCTATTTCAGTATCTTTCAAAACTTCACTCTATCTAATTCTTTAGTTTCTGTAAAACTGACAAACTAAAGACTGTTGGCAAACCAGATGTTCTATTTCAGTATCTTTCAAACTTCACTCTATCTAATTCTTTAGTTTCTGTAAAACTGACAAACTAAAGACTGTTGGCAAACCAGATGTTCTATTTCCGTATCTTTCAAAACTTCTCTTTATCTGCACTAAACATTTAAACACATTAGCTCACGAAAACATCAAATACATTTTTTTTACAAATGAACAAAAAGTTCAGTAATAAATAAATAAATGTTGTTAAAAACAGTTGAAAATTATAATGTTAATAGTTCTTCTTAGCAATACCAAACGTTTTAACAAGTTATTTTAGTTCTACTATTTCTCACAATAAAAGTTATGGTCTACAAGAAAAAACACATGAATTTATTTTATAAATCAAACAAATTTACTATTTATCATTACAGAATATACTTTACAACAACAATGTAAAATCACAGACTTTGCAAGTATTACATATACTGAAACATTTATTAACAAAACTTCAAGTATTAGAAAGACTAATATACTACTTATGAAAACTAAAACATCTTAGTTTATAAAATGCTGGATAATCTCGTTCGAATTAGCTTTCATGGAAATTTTGTACATTATATCCATATTACTATTTTTTTTTCATTTTAGTTAGAATTTATATTTTCATGTAAATACTGTAGATCATTTCTATGATAATATGTGAAAACAAATATTGAATTTATCACGAGACATATTAAAGTCATGTCACTATATTAATAAACGAATAAATTATTCAAACATATGCATTATACTCAAACATAATTACTTTGTGACACCAGCAGTATTATTCGTTCACACTGTACGTTCAACACAGATGAAACATGTGAGATTTCAGTTTATAGGCTCAGAAAAACTAGTTTCTCAACTATTTAACATTACAAAACCTAGTATTTTCCTCACATAGATATTGAGACTTTTAAACAATGTTGTGGTAGCTTACACTTTATAAAGATTATCGACTATATATGAATCGTCAGTTAGAAACTAGTGTACTGTGATTTCCTTATACAAAACTCATGTTTCATCATAGCCCAATACGTATTAAGCATATATCATTAATATCACAGACTTAACAAGTACCACAAATACTGAAACATTTATTAACAAAACTTCAAGAATTAGATACGCTAATATACTATTTCAAAAACTACAAATATCTTAATTTATAAAATAATGACCTACAACCCAAAGTAGTAATATCTGTGGTAAATACTTGTTCTAGCATGTTATTAATTAAATAGAATAAATCATTATAAATTAAGTATAAGAGACATGCCCCTAAGTAATTCGAGATAATATGATCATAGAAAATTTCTTCATTTAACAACCCTTCAAAACATATCACGCGCATGAAATCCCTAACTAATTTGACTGTCCCTGTCGTGCTGGACATTCGATCTTTTGACCTTCACATTACCTCTTCTCTATTGCTAAAAATTCCGTATTTCACCGTAACCTAATAAGTTATCATCAATATATGTAAGTAAAACCACACACACATATATTGAGAAAATTATAAAAAATACTTCAAGTTAGAAAAAAATTACTTTATCCAAGATTTATCAAACATAATACATACGCATCCTACTTTTGACGATTTTAAGAAGAACTTCTGTAAAATAATTGATAACAATAAAAAGTGTTTTCACGATAAAAGATATGGTCGACGAGAAAATACATATTGTTTAACTCCATCACGTTTACTTTACAACCAAGATAAGTTGTATATTCACCATACTCCAAGTCTAACAATGAAGAATGGATTTTGTATGTCACTGAACTTTACTGGCAGTAAAAAATATATTTGAATATATATATATATATATATATTTAAAATATTTGAATATCAGTACAACAATTATAATGTTAGTTTATTTTGTATGTAGCAAAATAATGCTTAAGAAACATTAAAGCCCATGATTGTGTTTGATTAGGAGACTTGATACACTAATATGTTATTCAAATGTTATAATATCTACATCAAGAAGTTGATAAAAGTTGTCAGCATCCAGGTTGTAGTTTTCAGGTGATAATGCGATTGAAAACGGTTTTGATAAAGATCGTTTACTAGTTATATTTAGAATACACAAATCCATGTTTCTTTGTTTTTTCAGAACTTAATTCAGCTGTCAAATTCGGTACAAGTGTATATATATATATATATATGTATATTGTCATAGAACGCTGTACCTTGTCAGCCGTTCACATCTAAGCTGCCCAAGATGGGGCAACCAGATTTGGATTTCACTGCTCCAGAAATTCAGAACTCGTCAACTTGCTCACCTTACAGTGATATGTTTTCTCTGGGACTGCTGATCTGTGCCATCTTTAACAACGGACGATCACTCATTGAAGCCAATCTAAGCTCAAGTAATTACAGCAAACAGCTGGATCTGGTAGGACCAAACATTTTTTTATTATTAATGGATATCAAATGTTAATACCATGAAATACTTGACGAGAGAAACTCAAAAAATATTTACTTTTGAATGAATACATAAAAAGTTCAAAATAAATATTGATTATTATTATAGATATCTTATAATTATATTCAAAATGCATCCTAATAAAAAGGTGTATATAACCTCCACAAAACAGAATGTAATATGTATCGTTTTTAAGTATTCTTAACTTTGGTTATCCAAGTTAAAAAACCTTTTAAGGATTTACAACATTGTTGTAGGGAAAATATTTATTTTCGGCTTAAAATGGGAAGATATTATTGGTTATATTTACTAATACAAATAGCTGTAGTGATGGGATTAAATGTTCTTAATTAAGTATACGTGCTGTTTATTTTTCAAATGTTTGTCTAAATGATTAACCGAAATAATTGGTTGTACATTATATTACAATATTAAATTTTGATAGAAAATAGTAGTGTTTTTTCTTTTAGCTTGAGTGTACTTCTAAAAAAACAAATATGTTTTTCTGCTATTGAGTTCTTTTCTTTTTATTTCTATACTTAGATATATTTCCTTATTGGATGGTTTCGAAGCCTCTAAAAACAATGCAAAAAATTTTAAAAACATTTACGGATATAGTTGTCGTTGTTAACCACTTTCATTGCTCTAGTCATGACTGTCTGGCTAGTCGTCTCCATGGACATACCCGGTTTATAGGTAGAAGTATTTCTCTTCGGACGTTTGGCATTTTTATCAGTACTAATGGAAATTCTCCATCCTCTTTTACGGTGGGCTTTATCTGCCATGGCATCCCATCATGATCGTATCCATATCACCTGTACCGATAACACATCGAACAATTTGAAATCTTACCCTTGCAAGAAAGCTTTGAATCTGTCCTCCGATCTTGACCGACTATCATACAGTTCCTGATCATAACTGGCCTCGCGAGAATCTCTATAGATATCGTATCATAATAACGCCATAGCATTAGGGAAATTGTAGTAAAAAACTGTCTGTCTATATAAAAAAAATGTATCCACTCCAGTTCTTTTCAATTTTGGGTTGAAGAACACCATTGGATTCCAGAAAGAAAGTTGTGAAAATACCACACGTGTGCTTCCCTGAGGTGGAATACTGTAGTTGATCTGATAGACTGCTAGTAATCTCTACATTATATAAATGAGAAGTTATTGCTTTCAGTACTATTACATAATGAACTGTATTTTGTCCTAGAAATAAGATAGATATACCTGATTTAAACTAAAAAATTTGGTATAAACTTCTAAGTATTCAAAGAGACAACTGATTTTCTAGAACGATGTGTATTAGGAAAAAATTCCTAAAATCCTATAGGACAATTTAGAGGGTTAAGTAATGTAAGCCTTACGGACTTTGTGTTTATATATATATCTGCAACAAGTGTGTGCATGCTAGACAGAGTGTGTGTGTGTGTGTCCTGACTTTTCTAATCATTAAACTAAAATGCATAATATTTCTAATAGGCAATATTCTCATTCTCGTGTTGTTATATTTTATGACTGTCTTACATGTGTAGGATTAAGAATAAGCTGAAACTTCAATTCGATTAAAGAGTAGCCCAGGAACACAACATAAAACGTTTATAAAGAGGGAAAGTTTGTATTTTTTAAATGTTATAAGGTTGTTATAAACTTTCATTTCTTCCAGCTAGAACAGAATCTGCACGAACTTTTGGACAGAGTACCTCACCACTTGCAGGAGCCACTCCAAATTCTACTCAATCTTAACCCAAGAAAACGACCAAATGCCCAAAATTTTTCAATGGTACTTAAATGTTTGTAGCATTTGATATTGTAATATTTCAGTTGAGAGTTACATTTTTCTTCTTAACATCACTTTTATGCTGATAGGTATTATACATAGCCGATCCTCAATATTAAGAAAATCAAATAATTATGCGTCATCATACAAAATTAAAAAGAGTTAATCCTTGTCAACAAGAATCTTGATTAAAAAACTTAAATCAATTTATGAATCATAGTTCCTATGTATGTTCAGTGGAATATTTTCATCTGTTCTTTAATATAATAACATTCGTTTAAACACGAGTACTAAGCATTTTTTGTTAATAGTAACATAGAGCATTGAATACTTTAGTATTGAAACGATAATGAATATACAAATCAGCAAGATACGTGACTAGCACAACATATATAAAGTCGCAGTAAAAAAAAATCTAACAGAACTACATTGTTACATTATATGACGTTTTATAGATATTGAGATACCACCAAAATTGGATCGATTTTGGGAATGATGTGTAACAGCCCTTTCTCACTCAAATCATATATACGCTCAGGCCATTTAGATGTTTTTCAAATCGGGGATTTAGAATTTACAATAGAGATATATCCTTTTTACTAAATAGAACTGGAAAATCAAGGAATATGTATCAACTTAGCATTGATTTCTTTCAGATAGTAAGTATCATTTGTAGTTTTTACTTATACAGATTTCTCTCATCCTGGCATGGCCAAGTGGTTAGGGTGCTTGACTTGCAATCTGTGGGTCACGGGTTCGAATCCCAGTCACAACAAACATGCTCGCCCTTTCAGCCGTGGAGACGTTATAATGTGACGGTCAATCCCACTGTTCGTTGGTAAAAGAGTAGTCCAAGAGTTGGCGGTGGGTGGTGATGACTAGCTGCCTTCCTTCTAGTCTTACACTGCTAAATTAGGGACGGCTAGCGCAGATAGCCCTGGTGTAGCTTTGCGCGAAATTCAAAAACAAACGAACAAATTCACCCTGCTGAGTCTTTGACATAGCGTCATAGCTATATATTTTAACAAGGTTTACTTTACTTTGGAGTTGTGAAACTATAAAATGAGTCCTCAATATAGAACAAAACCTATACCCAGTTCAGCTGTGATCAGCTCGACTCAGATAAACACTTATCATAGTTACGTATGTAGTAGGTTTCGTCTGTTCTATAAAAGAGTTTCTGTCTTTACAAAGGAATTAATAAACAAAACACTATAAAGCTGCTGGCAGTAATGAAGGGCTTATTTGAGTTTAAGCAAAATCGAATAATAGTAAAAGCTTCCAGGCTATAAGCGAAAATTATATATAAGATTATTAGGGATGGTAATTGATCGTCGTGAAGAGTACATCTTATTATCAGAACGGGAGATTTAGTTACAGTAAGTAACTTATGTATAATTAGAATTACTTGCATAATTACAATTCAAATGTATGTAAATATGGGACAACAACGTTGTTTTACTTGTAACGAAGTAAGAATGAAAATAAAATATATTTGGTCAAATATCTCTATATAGGACATTTAAATCTCATGTAAAATCCACCGACCCTCGAGAAAAATGTTTTTTCAGGAAACCGTGATTATTATTAAACCTCATATTAAAGAAACAGTGTCTTAATGTAGATTAATTTGCAATATTTCGTGTTAGTTGATACATATATTATAAATCATATAAACTAACTCAATAATAAATTAAACCTCGATTCAAAAACTGCTGATTGTTTCAGATAAAGTACTTTAATGATCCATCTATCCATGCTCTACAATACCTGGATGTCATTCAAATGAAGGATTCCACGCATAAATCCCATTTCTACCACAGCTTGAAGGGAGTGCTACCCAACATCCCGAGGGTAAGATACGTTCTTTGGTTTTGTTTGGCCTATAAACTCCTGACAATCTTTGTAGATAAGTTTAACAAACAATATATAGGTCTTTGTCAAATACATCAGTTGTTTTCAGTAATTGCCTCTATGTCTTTGATATGAAACCACAGTGGTATGAATAATATAACTAAAAGATTTTTGATGCAAATTGTATTTGCTGAATTTATTTGTCTGAATAACTCATTTATTGGGATGTTGTCAATTAATACACATGTTGTCTTCGTATACTTGTCTGTATACATAATAGTCAAGCAATAGTCGTTAAATCTACTTCAACTTAGAAACTTTTATAGATCCTGGGCTCAATGGTCGATAGTGCTTAATATCATCAACATTCAATGTAGATTTATTAATTCAGACTGTTGTATTGTTTTTCGAGCATTCAAGTAAGTATTTGTTTAATTTCATAATTACATTTTAAACTTCTTGATGACTTTATTTTGTTATAAAGTTTTATCATTCCACAAATTTAAAATTTACTGATTGCATATTTATGATTAAAGCCAAAATAATTAAATATAAATTATCTGCCCCCATTATGCCTTAGCGGTAATTCTAGGGCTTATAACGCTAGAAATCTGGGTTCGATACCTGCTGTGAAAATAGCCCATATAACCGTTAAATATCTTTATGCTTAACAACAAATAAATAAAATGTCTGAAAATGTAATTGGGAAGAATGATAGATTATTCAGTACCATAGATTGATTACTACAGAATTGCCTTTGAATCTGAAGTTGATGTCAAGTCAAAGAAAATAATTATGATAATTTTAAAAAGGCAGATGTCTTTTTCAGACTCGCATTATAATATTTCAATGTATGCATGAGTCAGAAGTTAAAAACTTATGTTTCTCCTAATTTATTTAAGCATTCATTAAATTGCTAACATAATTAGCTGCATTATTTGAATGAATAACCATATTCATGCTTGGAATTAAAGCTACTTTTCTACTGCTTTCCGAATAAAAAAAATAATTTGAAAGACGAGGGTTTATTTTGTAAGTGCAGTAAAGTCTATTTTGCATTTTAGAGATTGATTATTTGCCTCTTCTTTCATGTTTGCGACAGAAGCTTTGGTACCAGCATGTTTTACCATCCCTACAATCTGAGCTTCAGTCTCCAGAGGTACTAGCTGCAGCGCTTCAACCTTTGCTGTTTATAATAGAAGAAAGCACAGCTGATGAATATCAAACTTTGATTCTCCCCATGTTCAGAAGTATATTCGGAATGCCTAAGTCGGTGCAGGTATGAATTTATAGAAAGCCATCTGATGTGGGATGAGAATTATCAGACATATATCGTATTATCTGTACTAATAAAAGGTAATTGATTAAAGCAGAATACGTTTAAATGAAAACCTACTGTTTTTATAACAGTTTTGATACTTAGGTGAAGAAAGATAACTGACAAAGTACATTTTAGTGATTTCAACATAATCACACCATATAATGATGTAATGTTAATTATAATAGAAAGATGTTAACATCTTCATGAAAGTAGAATGAATTTTAGCCTTTAACAGAAGTGGCCTTTAGACGCACTGTTTGTTTATAAGTAAAATAATCTAATATCTTCGGTTCTGTTTGCTCAATTGACCAAACATTCCGATTTCCTTTACATTAATTTAAGCCAGAATATTTGACGAATCTTGTCGGACAAATCTATAGTAATGACGAATCTTGTCGGACAAATCTATAGTAATGATGACGAAGAAACAAACTTTTCATTTGATGGCATTTACATTATTGTCTTAAAATATCATTGTTGTTTCGATGTTCTAGGCGACAGTCACTCTTTTAGAAAACTTGGACACAATCATGAAAAAGACATCAAAGACTGATATCAAAGCAGACGTGTTGCCGATGATGTACGCTGCCTTTGACTCAGCTACACCTCAGATCCAAGTATGTATGACTTGAAAATAATCTTAATACGCTTGTATATTCATGTCTTTCAAATATATATGCTAAAAACAAAACAAGTCTAAACAGGCTGTGGATTTACAAAACTCTCCATTACAGAATGAATGATTTTAGAACCACTTTCTACGTTGTTAAAAACAGAGTTAGGACAATAACACGAATATCATTGTTATATTCTACTAGCTTGCAGCTCATCATGCACTAGCCCAGGTAGCAGATTATTTAGAAGAAAATGCTGTTAGGAAGATGGTTCTTCCAAGAGCAAAGCAAGTGTTTGATAACCATAGTGGAACAAAGGTATAATGTTATCTATCATCATATATACTTTCTTTATATACTAGCCTTCTATAGATACGTATTTTTGAATACTCCTAGCGTCTTTGCTTTGTTTTAGCTGTTATTTACTCAGTTCTTAAGCCTTATATTTTATGAATTGATATTAGTTGAAAAATGTTAGATAAGTCCATGCTATGGTTTCTATACTGTGTTGTTTTTACTTATGTTGTAAACAACCAAGATATTTTTAATCAAAGTAGAATTAACTGATAAGAATTAAAATCATATATTCTCAAAATCAATAATGAAATAACAAACATTAAGCCATAAGTGACTAGAATGGTATACGTTTTTTTTCTGTTTTTTGTGATAAAACCCTTAAATCTGTAGTTTTGATTGTGAACAAAACGAAACATGAAGCACGGAAATAGGAAAGGGAGAATTCTTGAATGTTAAAAAAGATTGTTTCATGGATTTCAGTGTATTATACTAATAATAGTTTTATCATTCCCTACCCGTAAAGAAATGCAATTTTCTATACACCCTAATTATTTAAAAAATATTAATTAAATAATATATGTATACATTATATGCTGTACTTTATATATATATAGAAAGATAGATGGGGAAGAGAGTATAGATCATGACAATAGTTTGTATTTCTTCTAGTTTGATTTAATTCTTCTATGTTGATTTAATGGTGCTCATGAAATGTATAAATTATTTTAAATTGAAATGTTTGACGTTTATTTGATTCTCGGTCTTCTAGAGGAAAGCATAATTGTGCAAACTAATTGTATTTATTATAGAGTAATTATTGTTGGACAATAATATTAACACTTAACTATGTAGAAGTAAATGGATAATCATGAGTAAATTAAGCTAAGAAGATAAAATAATATAGTATACTTATATACATCTACCTCTATAATTATATGTAACCTGAAAGGGTAATATAGTAAAATATACAAATCTACAATAAACTGATATACAAGATATTGTATACATACTTATATCTGTAGGAGGAAAGGAGGATATAATGCACTGTAAACTTTCAGAACTTTTTAGATTATCTTGTAACATATGGTATACACCATTTTCTAATATGTACGTATCCTCTCGTGGAATGTATGGTTATAAACCATTTTCTAATATGTACGTATCCTCTCGTGGAATATATGCTTATAAACCATTTTCTAATATGTACGTATCCTCTCGTGGAATGTATGGTTATAAACCATTTTCTAACTTATGTGTATCCTCTCGTGCAACATATGGTTATACACCATTTTCTAACTTATATGTATCCTCTCATGCAACATATGGTTATATACCATTTTCTAACTTATACTAATCCTCTCATCCTCTGCAGTGAAAGTAGCACACAATCTAACCAAACTAAACAGAAAGCTAAAGATAAGAGCTTTCTGTGCATGTAAAGGAGAACAATTCAATGTATATTAACTTTTAAATATGCAGTTGTATTGTATTCAGCCATATTTTTATATAAATGTCTAAACTGAAGAAAGAATTATTCGTCTTTATCTCTAATTGGAGTTTTAGACTTGACAACCAGTTATCTTGTTTTGCGATATTAACTGCTAAAAGGCATACTTCCAAAGTGATATATGTTATCATTAAGGTCTAACTACGCAATTATTTATTTAGGAAAACGAACGTAGAATAATAATTAAGTGGTTGCACTGATTAAAGTTTCCTTTTAGGCTCATTCTTAGAATTAAGGATTATTATTAAATATCTGATGTACATAATTATCTTACACCTCCATTTCAAGTGTACTCCTTATACGATGGACCAAAATGCCATGTAGATGCACAAATATTAGAACACTGTTAGAATATCTATTAGAAATATTGAAACATAATTTTACGTAATCCTACGCGGATCTGGACTACCAGCAGTCTACATCTCTTTATGCCTACTTTTGTGTATGCTATGCAGAATCGTGATAAAAATTTATTTATCGGGTGTTTGACAAGAAAAACCTTTCGGTATTCCTTTCTGCGTCGAGGACTATAAATAAGATCCGAGATTTTTTTTGATGCTTGAAATTTCCTTTACCAAAGAGAACAATATGATCCAAAAGGCAGACCTATTATTTTAACAATATGATCCAAGTGGCAGACCTATTATTTTAACAATATGATCCAAGTGGCAGACCTATTATTTTAACAATATGATTCAAGTGGTAGGCCTATTATTTTAACAATGTGATCCAAGTGGCAGACCTATTATTTTAACAATATGATCCAAGTGGCAGACCTATTATTTTAGCAATATGATCCAAGTGGCAGGCCTATTATTTTAACAATATGACCCAAGTGTCAGACCTATTATTTTAACAATATGACCCAAGTGGCAGACCTATTATTTTATTTATGAACAACATCACTTCTATTATGAGAAGATTTGACGAAATATTTTTCAAAATTATAAAGGAATGCTTTTGCAATTTAATTTTAATTTTATATTTTATACCCTAGAAACAGTAATTTAAAATACTAATATTACTACAATATTCTTCTTAAGTCGCAATAGATAACTTGAGATATTTAACTTACTTATGTGAGCCGTTGTTTCTTTTCTCTGGCTGAAAGTTTATTTTCATGTGTTTTAATAAGTTGTTTTTTTTATACTTCAATTTTAACCGAAAGTGGTTAACCTTCAGTGTGGCCTTGACCTTTGAACTACTTTCAGAAAATGTTAATCAATCACTACTTGTGGTAAAATCAATCTTGTATCAGATTTTACCAAGTTTATTTTACTGTGTTTTTACTGAGTTTCTTCATACTTCAATTTTTACATTGGGATATCGCTATTTTTCTTTTCTTTTTTTACTGGACATCGTCCCTAGTCTATAGAATGGTTCTATTATTCAGATGCAGGCCAACGCTTTAATCTGCATTGAAAAGGTCTTAGATAAGCTGGAAAAAACAGACATCCTGGACGAGGTTTTACCTATGCTGAACAAAGCCAAACTTCAGGATCCGGCGATACTAATGCCGGTCGTAAGTAAGTGGTCTTTTTTTGCAAATTAGTACACAAACCTACAGACTTAGTGATGAATATTAATTATTATGTGGAGAATTATATTTTAAGATCGTACAAGATCTTTGCAATTCCTCTTTAACATGATACGTATAATTTGAAAATAATATTCTGCTTCCTCTAAATAAAATTATTTTACTCTTTTTTTCCTCTATCAGCGTCGTTACAATTTTTCAATGCAGGAAATTGCGCTGTATTAAATACCAGTAATTTAATCCTCAATAACTAATTCAGAGTTGTTATCCTAATTCTAACACATACATTTTTCTCTTATTATAACATGAAATGTTAGCTTTTCAGTATTCATGATTTATCCACATAAAAGTGAATTGTGTAAATTTCAATGAAATAGTGAGCTTCGCATGTACCAATGAACATTCTAATAAAGACACGCTAATCTAATTAAATTATCGATCAAACATTACAGAACCAATAATACATTTCATTTCGTCGTTTATGTAGCTCCTAAAGAAGTAATAACCACAAAACTCGAGTTCTGTTACTAGAGAGTTCCTTACCTTTACTTCATATTTGTTGACATCTAATTTATACAATGAAAAAGTAGTGCACGTGGCCAGAATGTATCACTTCAAAATACAACCTTATTTTGCTTGTTTTGACTTACTTTTATGATATAGATATTTTGTTTTTATTTTTATGATATAAATGTAGAAATACTGAACAAACCCGATTTCCAATTGTTAGTAATTATAAATAAACTAGCAATGTAGTACAACCATATCTCCAGGACGTTCTAACTAACTAAAATGTACACTAAATAATTCTTCGCCATCAGAAATGTTTGTCTATTTGTCAAAGTTCTCCTTCTATCTCAATTTGTTCTCGAGTTCTGGCCATTTTTTCAAAATCAGTATTTCCTACCACTATACCGGAAATGGTTGATTTTTCTTGGCCTTTGAACTATATACGCCAAAAGTTTATCAATCGGTACTTGGGACAAAATCAATCTCGTACCAAATTTCATCAAAATCAGGTGAAATATTTCCGACCTATACTGTTCACAAACGCAGACACAGGTGTGAAAATAATACCATTATCGTGGGACGATGGTAATTACGGGGTTCAGTACACCATATTAAAACTATTTTGAATATACAAATCAGCAAACCACATGCCAACAACAGCCAATATAAAGTCATAACTACATTGGGTATTCATGCTATTCCATACAAAGACACCGGGCGCAGAACCTATATATTTCTTTATGATTAGTTTTAAAAAGATCCTAGGTAGGAGTGGTATCATTTGAACGTGATGACCTTAAGACAAAACCTTTTACAATATAAACTACGCAACAGTCGTCAGATAATGCATGACCGGATTTAGTGACAGGGGCTGTAATGTCATGGTGAGGCTCTGAAATCGTTTTAGTTTAACATGTTCAACCCTTTGTATGACGAAGTCAAGAAAAATTATTTGGTGTAAAAGTGTATAGAAAAAATTGCTTACTATTCATAAAATAAGAGACAGTACAGGTGGTGGAACAAATTCTCCCCCCACTCTCATAAGATAACTTTAATCATTGTAGAGGCTTCCTTTGGTCGAATTCTTTAAAGAGACAGCGACCTCCTGCTTGTGGCTAGCACAAGTAAAGAGGACACTTCTGTTTCCTCAATAATCTGTTCTACAGGGAATGGTAGTTCATTAATCATGTGCATTTGATGTACAACTTATTAAAGTATTCTTAGTGCACTGTTTTCTCTAAGCACTTGAAGATCAGAATCCATACACAAGCTCTATTCTATTGCTAATTATACATTTTAGTTAACCCTTGAATGGAACACCAAATCCTCTAACTCACGTAAGAGCATGTGCGAAGCTACTCTTTCTTTGTTAAGGGACCTGGGCACAAGTAAGTGTCGTTATTAATTATGGCCTCTTACATCTAACCCATCACAAAAAAGTACACCTTTATTGAAAAAATTAGTGCAGTTAATGTAATTAAAAGTCACTCACCTATGATAAAGTTGCCTGTAAACCGCTCCATTTTTTTATTCAAGTACCCACACTACTGTTTTGAAAAATACATTTGATATAAATATGAAGCAATTTGATATAACCTGCACACTAATAGAATGTTAGTGTTTTCTGTTAATTCACTCTTGGTACTTTAATTGCTATATGAATACAGTTTATACAACCGATCGTACTGAAGAAGCAGGGACTTGAATGAAAATTCCTTTTCACTCCAATCTGCTGTTCTTCCCTGTAAGAAAATTGAAAGTACCGAGAACAGACGGGAAATGATTGAATCCAAATCCTCAGACATCAGTGCACTAATAGAGGCTTGTGAAATGCCAGTTATCTCTCTGATCTGCCTTTGAAATTTACCAGTGACCAAAAATCCAATATTACACAGAACTTCAGTATGTGCAGGAACAAAATATGTGCGACTGGTTTGTTTGTGCAACCTAAAACCTAACATTTCACACAATTACATTAGGAATGCCATAGGAAAGCGATATTTTGATAACTGTTCTTCTGTAGATGTTATAAATAAATCGTATTCATGCAAACACTATCTCTCCGAAAAGCACCATTAGCAAGGGCTTCCATATTAGCCATTTACAAATGATGTTTTTTATTTATTATCGTACGGGAATTTATTCTTTAAAATATATATATTTTAATAGCCTACACACCAGCTACAACTTTTATCATGTTAAATGTCTTCTGTAATCATGGTGGTTGTAACCAACTTTTATATCATACTCGTGCCTGAATATTAATAACAAACAATGTTGATAATAGTATATTTGGTATAAACGTATGATTTATCCTGTAATCATGGTGGTTGTAACCAACTTTTATATCATACTCGTGCCTGAATATTAATAACAAACAATATTGATAATAGTATATTTGGTATAAGCGTATGATTCAACCAAGATGTTTGAAACGTGGTTATTGTCACAGTCATATATTTACTAATTATTGTTTTGTACTGTAATAATTTATAAAATAATTACGCAGTTTCAGCAAGACTTACGTAAATAACATAGATTTAATAAGAACGGTATTGTTTTACATATTATACTCATTGCAAATCTTTAGCCGATTTAACAGGAATTTGATCTTTTTTTGCAGAATCGTCATTCTAAAATATAGAAATAATAGTTTTATGCATGAGCCAGAGAGTGCTTTAGTGTAAGAGCATTCTCAGGCAAACTTCTGTGTCAACAAATTACATACTTTGTATTCAAATGTGTGTACTTACTGTTAGAAGGGTCTGTTTGTTTGCTCTTTAGCAAAAAGCTGAACAATTGGCTATCCATGCTCTGCCTACCGTGTGTATTGAAACTCGATGTTTAGTGTTATAAGATCTCAGACTTACCTTTTAACCATTGGGGTAGGGGGGAGGGGTAATAGACGAAATTATTTTACATTTTTTGTAGCCTTTGGAGATCAGGAGATATTTAGTAATCGTGAATGCTCTGTTTAAGAAGTTAGTGTAACAACTTACCTGATGTAGCTTGAGTCCGGGGCTTATAACGACTGGGATGAGAGCTGGCATAACTTTTGATGCCAAAAGATTAACTGTCAATCCGTAACGCTTGTCCCCAAGCATGTACTTGTATATTCCTTTAAAACATCAAATACTTTATGTTATATACTCTTCTGTAGTAATGTCATGCGTGTTGTTTTGATATAGACAGGGAACCTTATTTTTATCCCCATAACTCTAACACATGCTTAGCAATCTACTTCTGGGTGTGTTTACACACACACACACACATATATATATATATATAGGACAAAAACACCTATAACGCGAGCACTTTCGAAAGCGCTCGAGCTATGGGGTTTTGTATTTTTATCTTAAATTGTTTTTTGAACCTACATGTTTTTTTCTTATATCGTGAATGGTTTTATATATATATATACATAACCTATAAAAGACCATGCAGTTATAGTATGCCCAGCAGTAATCGTAGTATGAATCCAGTTATGGCCGTTTTTCAGAACTGAAATATCGCATGTATAAATTATAGTTTTGGTTGGCCAAGGATACTCCATTCAAAACATTGCGGCAAGACTCGGTATTTTAGTATAAGCTGTATGTAAGAACTGAAGGGGATATGTGCAACCGGCACTATTATTTAGAGGTAGATGAGGTAGGAGCCAAATCTCTCTAAACGTTATGTTAAGTATCTTAGGATATCTTTTATACGAGACAGACGACGGTTGAATACAGATCTTTTCAATACCGTATTGCAGTTACGCGTGTGAAAGTTACCTCTAGAACTGTAAGATACATATTAGCATGAATGTCTTTATATCTGCTTGAAAACCGCTGCTGAGAATAGGTAACCAAACCAGAAAGTTGACATTGTCATCAGACTACAAACAATGGAGTGATAAAAGCTGGAAGCATGTAATCTTTATAGAATAATCAAAGTTTGAATTGTCTGGCCACAATCAGTTGCAGTGTCGGAGAGAAGAACGGTTTTATTATTAATGTTCAACATGTTCAGTATCAGTTTTGTACTATATCCCAGCCATCAATGCCAATTATCTTCAAACAAATTCATAGAATCCTGATTGATGAGAAGCACAGCTTAGTCTGATACATCATGCTGTTCTTTCAGGACTCATCTGGCGAAGATTCATTTTCCAGCAGGATAATGGCCCCAACCAATGTAGTAAAACAATATCTTGACGGTAATGAAACTGAAAGAAAACTCGCAAACATATAGTTTGGCCTACACACATCCCGATATCAGCATTCTTGAGACTGTATGGGCTTAAGTAAAAACTGAGAAAATCAACAGACAACCAAACAATTTGCTGAATTGTAAAGACCATAATCGTACATTGATGAACCTGACAGCATGAAAACAAGGTGTAATATTCAGTGTAAAACAACGGGCTCATGCATATAAAAAATACTTGTCACTTGTACAATTTATTCCATTTTCTTTTGTATTTTCTGTTTTAATTTC